AAAAAAAAAAAAAAAAAAAAAAAAAAAAAAAAAAAAAAAAAAAAAAAAAAAAAAAAAAAAACATTAACTACGTTCGTACTTTAATTGTTGCAAATGTCATGTTGTTCGCAAAGGTTGTAGTGTATCTGTCATCAACAAAAAATCCCTATTAAATCACTCCCCCGACAATACAAATCATATATACAAAAATTACCCCAATACTTGATCATCCATCCCAAGCCAAGTTCTCCAATTATCAACAACAGGATAATTCAGAGATTCGATCCACTCTGCTGTATTTATAACCGGCACCATCATATCATGATCTCCACTATATATTTCATCAAGATATATAAATTAGTATAAAAAAACAACCATAATTTAACATAAAAGTTATTGCATAGTACCTAAAAATCAAAGATCGATATCCTTTAGAACTGAGTTTTGCATGGTAAGGAACCGAGTTCATAATATCGTATTGATAATCTTTACGACTCTGACATCTTATCCATTCTCCTTTAGTTCCCTATTAAAAAATATATTAAGTTATTTCTTGGCTAATATTTATAAATAAATAAATAAATACTTGTCTCGTTACCTCGCGTATGTGAAGTGCTTTCCTGACTCGACAATCGTTAGCCCAATAATAACTAAGGAAGTATTTATACTCCTAAATCGACAAACATTATTAAGTTCAAAGAAGAACAAAAAAAGAATCCGCATAGAAAAGGTTCAAACAAAAAATTTACTTGACAGTAGAGAAGAGGCGGAGGCAACACTCTTGGAGCAAGCAGCAGTTGTTCTTCAGAGGAGTTGAAGAGAGATCTCCGCCGTCCAAATTTATCATCATTTGGCGCTGAGGAAACATCCTCACAAAAAGGGCACGTAATACACCATTGATTGATTCTGCTCACACACTATAAGAACATGAAGAACAACAGACAACACCAGCTTCAAGTTATGAACATCATTAACGTTGATATAACTCCAGCAAGACAAACCTTTTTGTAGGCTGCTACATGTTTCATGCACTTCATGTTATCTGGCTCAATGTTCTCATATTCTCCTTTGCAATTGCTTCTCAATAACTATGCAACAATTAAGTAGTTAAATAATTCCTCCAATTCTCTCAATTCTTGATGTTTTCTTCATTGAATCAAACGTTATATTACCTCGTACAGTTGAGTGGGGATGAGGTTCATTCTATGAGCATATGGAACTCTGGAATTATCATTTGTTTTACGTACCGTGACTGGATTTCCCAATATGTAACCCTGTTATCAAGAACATAAAATGGAAGAGTTAATATACAAATGCATTGAATGAACTCAAATGGGTAGTTGAACAGACCTGAAGGTTTATAACTGGGACAGCATCCTTATTTCCTGTGAACAAGCAAGGAATACTCTCGTTTACCCATTTGATCAAAACACGATATCAATAAAAAAAGATAGAATTGTAACAGCCCAAACCCACCGGTAGCAAATATTGTCTTCTTTAGGCTTTTTCTTTCGAGTTCCCCTCAAAATTTTTAAAACATGTCTAGTAGGGAGAGGTTTCCACACCCTTTCCGTAACCGATGTGGGATCCTTCCTAAAGGGTGTAGAATTCTCTTCTAATAGACGCATTTTAAAACTATGAGGCTGACGGCCATAGCCAAAGCAGACAATATTCGCTAGCAGTGGATTTACGTTGTTCATACCTTCCGAGATTGCTAGCGTAAGAGGCGGAACAACAATACCGGTATATGAGTCTCCACCAACATAAAATGGATTAGATAAAAATTGGGGATGATCTAGCAGCCACTGTGGAGATTCCAGTTCATATTTGAAGGTGTTAAAATGAGAGATTTAAAAGTTTCATGTGAGTGTATATATATATACACATTATTTACCTTTCTCAAAAATTGATGGTTTTGTTGAACTTGTCCAAAATCTCCTTTCTTAGAACCTTTTAGAGTTCGACTATACGAAAATCCAGTGCCCACAGGCGAATCTATAAAGAGAATACTAGCTTTCTAGTATCCATCACTCCCAAGTTAGTCTTAATCACAATCAAACTAATAAGCTTAAAGAGTAATTGTTGTTACCTTGGTCCATGTAAGAGGATTCAAGATTAGTTGAGGTAGGCTTCCATTGTATGGCTCTACCTTGAAATTTATAGGACCTTCAAACAAATTCAATATACAATTAGCATAATCAAACTACTCCCTTACTTATAAACTCAGGATCATCCTTTTAATTAGCGAAGGCAGGACTCCCTCCTCAACAATCCTCTCCTCGAACAAAGTACACCATAGAGACTCTCCCGAGACCTACAAAGCCCTAGAACAGATTCCCCTTAATTGAGGCTCGACTCTTTTCTCTGAGACCTACAACCGTTGAGGATTCTATTCACATGACTAAGTTAAAAGCATGACACGGATACCATGTTAGGAATCACAACCCTCCACAATGGTATGATATTGTTCACTTTAGGCATAAGTTCTAGTGGTTTTGTTTTTATGTTGTCCAAAATGTCTTATGCGGATGGAAATACATTCTTTTATGTTTTTTTACAATGACATTCTGACTTTTGGGCTGATTCTACTCTGATCTTAACATCAAGTTCAAGCCATTAAACTATGAAAATAATTAGAGGGAAAATCTTAACGTAGAAATGTAATTTATTACTATATTGTCGTTTATGAGAAGTGAGCAGAAAAGTTTCAGAAAAATTCTCGAGAGAAGATGTAAGCATAGAGGGTTACCAACTTCAAAGGCAAGTCCAGAGAGAGCAGAGCAACCAGGGCCGCCAGTAAACCAAGTCATCAGAGGATCAGTTTGGGGGTTTCCTTGGGACTTGACAAAGTAATAAAACTGCTGAACTTCCTCCGAATCGCCCACTCCCACATATCTGTTCCATTTCCACAAAACCTTACACACAATGCTAACTAATACCCATTAAACTCACAATAGAACAAGAAAAGGAAGCAAAACGAACCCAGTTTCGAGCTCAAATGGAAGAGGACCTGAGAATCCAGGCAGATACTTCACAGTCCAAGATGAAGCTGCGGCAGCGGAGGAGACCGCCAGAAAAAGAAGAACAGGGAAGAAGAAGACAACAGACCACCGGAAAACGGGAGTGGCCATCGGAGAAATTCAGAACTCACCCCAAACTCCCGCCAAATGTGCTCCAGACCCACGATTATGTTTATGTTTCGTTCTGTTTTATGGTCTACGTTGTAGATACTACACGAATACCCGTACCAATGGTGCAGCGTGTCAATGAATCCGTACCAGCGGTGGGATCCACTTCTCCGGGCAACAAAAAATTCACGTGCGAATATTGGTGGAATTTATTTACACAAATAATTTGAGCCACAAGCTCCAACTACCACTTCCAAGTAACACGATTTTTGTTTGTTTTTTCTATAAAATAAATTTACTTTAGAAATAACATTTTATTACAAAAGAAAAATCACTCAATTTCATACCATAATAAACAACAAATTAGTTTTAAATTCGATCACTCAAATACACAAACAAACAAACCAAACAAATTATTATGTTTTTTATTTAGTTTAAGGGCACACATGTAAATTTGTAATTGGTCACAAATTTTGTTATTATGTATTTTCTTTCATGAAAATTATTATTATTATTAAATTAATTTCAATTAAAAAAATATTCAAATGATTAACTTAAAAAAAACTATATTTTTTTAGGAATATGTACTATTTGCATCTTTCTTACTGGGCCAGTGACCAATGAATTCAGAAAGCCCTTCACGTGCTGAGGCCCTATGAGGCCCAAAACCAAACATGGATCTCCGTTTATTTTGGACCAAGCCCATTTAAGAGATAATATGTGCTTTCTAAACCAAAAAGAAAAAAAGAAAAAAAGAAAACTTAATTAATAATTATTTAATACAATTAATGGCACAAAGGGATTCAGATCCCCCAACACAAACCAAACTTAATGAATACTGTTCATTAATTTATATTTGTCTTAAAAAAACAAAATCATATTTAAACATTTTACTTTAATAATTAATTTATTATTGGCTGATGGGTTGGAAAATCAGGTGTGTGGTTTGACCAGTCTCCTTCACAGCCAACAAATTACTGACACGTGACCATGGAAACAGTGCGGGTCTGGACCTTCACACTGTTCTAGATCACCCGCAGGGCACCATTATTTTTCTGTTTTCAATATTACAACACAATAATTCAAAATTAATAGCAATAACATTAATTAAGGGTGAGATTATGAGATGGAAGTGGAAAGTTGAAATTAATTAAACATAATCCCGTAACAAAACCTAAATTAGGCTTTTAAATTCAAATTATTTAAATTTAAACAAGCCAGTCTAATACTTCTCTACTGTTTGCACATACACATAAACTAAACCATTATATCATAATTTAATTTTCTCTTTTTCAATTGTATATTAAATAGAGTAAATAGCAAAAATTATTAAATATGTCTGTCTCCTCATAATTTAGGGAATTTTTGGCAATTAAAAATTATATGAAAATAATAATTTGGTAAAAAGAAATACAGCCAGCCTCGCGGGTGTTCTTAATATATAATATATTAATCAATAATTTTGGGGGTTACATCAATCGCTTTTTTATTTGACCAATTGACCATCCCTAAGTGCAACCCAGGGACCAGCTCGGACCAAATATATAAAAGAATACGCCCACAAACAATTAATCAAATAAAAACACTTTATGAAAAAGAAAAAAACCGGCATACACGTGTGGCTCCCGGTAAGACTACGGGCTATAACCGGTAATTGGCAGTCAAAAATCTCCATTAATTTATCGGTAATTAGGGGGAGAAAAGGAAAAAAGGTTTCATTTTTCATTTTTTCTCTTTCTCAGTGCCTCCCATTCTTTGGTGTCTTAGATCCTCCAAAATTTCGTCTGACATTTTCTTTTATATAATTTTTTTTTTTTTTTTTTAGGGATTTTTCGTTGGGATGTGGGTTTGAGGAAAGTGCACTGTTCTCAAGTATTTGTGATTTAGATTCATGGCATCGCTTTTGATTGCATATTTTTTTGGGGGATTTTGATGATTTGGCCATTTTTGTGGAGCTTGAAGAGGCAGTGAGGTTCGTTTGTGGTTACTGATGATGACGGCGGCGATGGTGAAGAAGAAGAAGAAGGAGGCCTTTCTTCAGACCAACCAAGGGGTTCAGATGAAGGAACAAAAGAATGCCCCCGTTCGCCATTTTTGCCGCTGCTTCTGATTGTTAGTGAGAAGAAAAAGATTGTGGAAGAAAGAGAAAGTAAGAGAGAACCCTTTTTCTTTCCTTTTTTTTTTTTTGCTGTTCTTTTGCCCCCCTTTTTATGATTCGCACATATTTTTCTGTCATTGTGTTTTGGGTTGCTGAAAATGAATTCAATTGCTCGTTCTTGATCTTCTATTCCAGGGATTTTGGGTAAATTTTGTTCTCTCTTTGAGATTGATTTGTTCTTTTGAGGGTTTTGGAAAATGCCGATGTACCAGCCGGAGCTGGGTGTGGGTGGTGGTGGGCAAGTTCTTGATGTAGAAACCGCCGTGAAAGATGGTATTCTCGGCGGCGGTGGGTTCATCTGCGAGGGTGGAACGGCGGAGAAATTGGATCTGAAGGAGATGGTGGAGGAGCTTGAGAACATAGAGGTTCCTTCGGTTTTTATCTGCCCAATTTCATTGGAGCCAATGCGAGATCCTGTAACGCTTTGTACAGGACAGACCTACGAACGTTCCAACATCATGAAATGGTTTTCTCTCGGCCATATCACATGCCCCACCACAATGCAAGAGCTTTGGGATGATTCAATTACTCCCAATAACACTCTTCACCAACTCATTAACAGCTGGTTTTCCCAAAAGTATTTGGCCATGAAGAAGAGGTCAGAGGATGTGCAGGGGAGGGCTCTCGAGCTCTTAGACACATTGAAAAAGGTCAAGGGCCAAGCCAGAGTCCGAGCTTTGAAGGAGCTTCGCCATGTCGTGGCTTTGAATTCTTCGACCAAGAACACCGTGGAAGACAATGGCGGTCTTGCTTTGATTTCTTCTCTCTTGGGTCCTTTCACATCCCACGCGGTTGGATCCGAAGCCATTGGGATTTTAGTGAACTTGGATCTCGATGCCGAGTCAAGGAGAAACCTCGTCCAACCCGCCAAGATTTCGTTAATAGTGGACATGTTAAACGAGGGATCCACAGACACCAAAATCAACTGCACCAGATTGATTCAAACGCTCCTCGATGGGGACGATTGTGGAGCGGACACTGTCTCAGGTCTAAGCCTCGTGGTTGGATTGTTAAGATTAATCAAAGAAAAACAACACCCAAATGGCGTTCTTGCTGGATTAAGATTGCTAAAAGCTCTGTGCTCCCAAGAACAAGTCAAGAATTCTGTAGTGAGCATTGGGGCAATCCCACAGTTGGTTGAAATTCTACCAAATTTCAGCCCCGAATCTTTGGAGCTAGCCCTTCACGTATTGGATTCAGTTTCATCCCTCTCAGACGGCAGGGTGGCCTTGAAAGATTGCCCCAAAACCATTCCAAATTTGGTGAAGTTGTTAATGAGAGTGTCGGAGAGCTGCACTCAGCTGGCGTTATCAATCTTATGGGCGGTCTGTAAACTCGCCCCTGAAGAATGTGCATCGCAAGCTGTGGAAGCAGGCTTAGCCGCCAAACTTCTTCTGGTGATTCAGAGCGGTTGCAATCCCGTTCTGAAACAACGCTCCGCCGAGCTTCTGAAGCTCTGCAGCTTGAATTACACAGCAACCCTCTTCATATCCAAGTGTAAGCTTACAAGAACAATACAATAAGGAAGAAGAAACAAAAACCCCAGCCAAATTAGAACACACCTTAAATTCTTCTTCTTCTTCCATCTGGGAATGAATCAATCAAGTGGGGGGGTGAGTGTTCGAATCTCGCCGTTGTAAATTTTGTAGAGCTTTTTGTTTGCTATCAAATCAAATCAAATCTTGTATGAGTTTTTGGTGTTTGTTACAATTACTTGAAGAACTCAGATGATAAGTTCATGGACAATGGAACAGTTTGATTCGAATTCTAATTTAGTGTCAAGTTTTGAACATTAGGAACAGTGAACAACAGGGTTAATGCAGGATTAAAGTAAAGGGAAATCATAATTAAAAGAATGAAGGGTCCCTCAAAGATTGAAACACTTTTCATCTGTGTAAAAAAAAAAAAAAAAAA